CAAGGATTAAATGAGATATAATGGGCTAAGTAATTAGCATAGCAGCTAGCATAAAGCGAATACAATTATTGTGTATCATTCGTTCCAGCTGGCCTCTGAACGGAAGAGCAGTGCTTCCGGCGGGTGGGCTCTGACCCCTAAAGAGCTGAGAAGTGGTGCAAGTGGTGCAAGGGGGTCCAAGAACCCATGTGTTCACTATCTATCCTGCCTCTTCTTGGTATATAGGTACTCTCTCATTAATAAAACACAAATTCATTCAAAAGCATTCCTGTTTCCATAACAATTTCATGTCATCATTCCTGAAACTAATATGTACAATTACTAGTTGCTGGGGGTGTGATAAAGAGAGTAGTCTTCTCTCCAGTCCTCCCTAAACCCCTGGAGGACTAATGACAGCTTCATCTACTGGGTCTTTTGTCTTCTGACTCTGAATGGGTTCGGCCAATGAGAACGATGGTAAGAGCCTGGGAGGAGAGGAGTGAGTGAGGTTGGGGTGTTAGCTCTCTGGGGCTTCCTCCTTACGGGATGGCCGTGGCTGCCGTTCTCAATCAGCTCCCGATAGAAGGCCTCTCTGACGGCTTTCTGTGTTTCCCTTTCATTCTTAGTTTCAATGGCAAACTCCTTGCGCCGGGGAAACTAGTCCTTGTGGTTTCCTCTATACTCTGCCACCGAAAGTAGTTCCCTTATTAAACTTTCCCCAAATTATCCTAACCTAAGCGTGTCATTTTTTTCCTTGCTCTGTAGACCCTAGTGTGTAGACAGATACTCAAAAAGGGTCTTCATCCTAGAACACTCTGGGAACGAGTGTCCTACAGTTGGAGGGAGATCTATCCTTGCACCCCTGGCACATTCCTTCATTAACCCACAGAAAAGAGGAGTCTCTTCTTAGGTTGTGTGACTGTCCCACTTGATTCATGCTTCAAGAAAACTGAAAGCTTCTGTTTGGATATTTTGCTTATTACATAAACCTGTAGTTAAAAAATTTACACTGGAAAATTATAAATACTCAACATTTTGCATCCAAATTAAGTTGCTGCTAGAATTAAAGATCGGAATTGGTCTTTTGACCTTCATTTGCAATATTACTATTTATTTGTTTCTAAGTACTGTATATAAAATTATTCTTTTCTACATCTATGATTCCATTTGACATAAATTCTTGCTTAAAATTTGGGCATTGAGAAAAACCAGTTGGTCGGTAAAACCTTGTGAATTTACATCATTTCAGAAGATTTATCTCAGAAAATATTAACGACTTTGAAGAGTACATTAAACATGGGGTATGAGAATAGAATTTAATATTTGGTCCAATTAAAGTTGTAAATCACAGGGTGTAACTTGTCTCGAGGCAAAAACTTCAAGTAACTGAGTTCCCCTGGGAACTGCAAGTCTATCTTGCAATTTGAAGCTTGCAATGGTAAACCCATCAATCTATTTCTTTACTGTTTTTTTATCATGAACACAGAGCAAGATAAAATGAAGGCTGGAGACCAGTGCTCACTACGTCATTAGTAGCACTGCCTCTTTAGGTATCTTCAGTGAAGTTCTCTTTCTGTTCCATTTGAAATGTTCCAGAACTAAAGATACCTTACAAGAAAAGTGGGGATTAACAAAAATTGGAACATTCAAAATCTCTTCTGATTTTGACCATAACAGTGCTAAAATAATAGTCATTTGTAAGTGATGGAGAAATTTTATGCTTATGTAGTCCTCTTTATTCAAACTTCAGAAACTTTCTCCATTTTCCTCCATAAATCCAAATCATACTTTCGGAGGTCCAAATAAAGAACCACTATTTGAAAAAGAAACAAATATAGACTGATTCTTGTGAAAAATGAACCGACTATCCTACAGTAGTTGTTTCAATTATATTTATTTAAATATACAGACAACTTGCAAATAGCTCCTTCTCAAACAAATTATTAGGGGAAAATATTAAAATGTATTTAAAAAGAAGTATACTGTATGGTGAGTATACTTTCTGGCACATCTAACTATATAATAAGTGCTTATTGAACTGCACTGTTAATCTTAACATCTGCTGGCATAGTTGGATCAATAGAAATAACCTAAAAGTAGAGATTTAATACATTATGCAATAAAATTTCTCAGTATTTATCCATTTGTATTACAAAGTAGTATTATAGGTAAGAATTTTTTCACACAGTTTTTGAAATAATAGTGTTAATTCCATTCATTCATTAGTGCATTCATTTATTTTTATTTAATTTATTCAACAACTCTTTACTGAGAACCTCTAATGTGCCATATACTATACTAGTAATAAAAATGTTTTTATCAAAAAATATGTTTTTATCAAAATAGCTATTTTATAATAATTTTATAATTTATAATAAGCAATATTTTATTGGAATATAAAATATTTTGTAATTATTATACTACAAAATAGTGTTATGACTAATTCCATGACCTGCTTTCTTTACCCTTTCTTGTTTAGTACTAAGATATCTCAAAATATAAATATTTTGTCAGTAAATATGATACATATAATTCTGATTATTTTCTTTTTGAGGGGTGAGGCTCTTGTTTTGAATCTTCTTAGTGTAGGTACACATTAGGTCTGACATTCATGTGTTCCACGATCATCTCTTCAACACATAGCCCCTGAAAGTCTCACTGCTGGCCACTGTGAAGGACATGAGAGGGGATCAGACGAGGATTCTGGGCAAGAAGTAAGGATGGTAAGAAATATGTACACGAATAACCCCAATGTAAGACAGGGATAGAAAGTACCATAGAGAAACAAAGATATGGTGCTACCAGAATCAGGGCAGAAATAGGTTATTCCTATAAAAGAGGATTAAGGAGAGACTATTCAAAAGATTTAGATTTGAACTAGACCTAGAAGGGTGCAAAAAATTTAACCATAGAAAGTTGAATGGGTAGTAAAGGGAAAAAAGAAGTTATCAGAAGCACATAGAAAATGTTCTCTTATATATAAATCACACCTTATTTCAACAAGATAAATTATTTACAGAATTATTCCATATTGTCGTTGCTTCTTAAACATAATTATGTTCAATTATCTTAGTATTCAGTTTTTAAGAATTTAAAGATAAATTATTCTAATTCACAATTTTTCTTCTTCCTATTCCCTTACTGTCACTTAAACCCATTTAAATTAAACAGGAAGAGAGATGTAGACACTTTCTCACTTTTAGAAAATTATTTCAAAATCTCTACAAGGTGAATCTAACCCTACAGAGCTATTTATTCTAGTTGTGTTTGTCGTGCATGGTAATCATGTTTTTTACCAGTTTTTGAAAAAAGTTAAGGAATTTTATTATTATTATTTTTTATGTACTAACATACAGTGATGTACCAGCTATTTAGTTGAAAATAACTATCTGTTGTTTTATGTAGCCAAGTTGCATATACTGCTCTGTTCAGTGTCTGTGATGTGATGCAAAGCTTTTCCTAATCCTAAATAACTGTGCTGTATTCCAATAGGTAATTGGCACAGTTAAGATATTACCCACAATAAAAGCTCTTAGTTCATGATGGCTTTTCTATTTAACCGACTATAAGTGCATCAATTACTCAAAGTTGAAGATGGTTATTTCCATAATGATATCTCATGTTATGTTTAGCTTTAAAGGTATCAGTTCACACTCAACTTTCTCCTAACAGTCTGCAGTATTCTCTTTAAATAAAATTGCCCTTGACCCCTTTCACTATGCTGTCCTTCAGGCCATGAAAAAAAAAAGCACACTTATGAAATACACCTAGATTTCCTTGTGCCCACAATGCCCTTACAGTTCTTTCTTTCTTTGCCATCTTCTCTCCTCAAAATATTACTTAAAAATCATCCAAACTTCTTTGGGTACCAATAAAGCTGATCAATAAATGATCAAGTCTATAATGATTTTGTGACAATGTATTATACTGGCTCCTATCAATCACCATTAGGGAGAATCAATTATTAGTGTATGGACTCCAACTTTTCCATGAAATCTGAAACTAAGTAAAAAAATTATTTCAGAAAAAAACTCATGACTGATTTTTCTAAAAATGCATATGTTTTATGTGTACTCATAACTGTAAAACTACAGAAATAATTCAAATGTCCTTCAATTGGCAAATGCAGAAGCTGTGGTACATCCTTACAACAAAACACATCACAGTAATAATAAAAACAGAACACTGATACAGACATGAATAAATATCAAATGCATTATGCTGAGTAAAGAAACCAGACTCAAAAGGCCACATATTGTATTGCTTTATATTAATCATATGACATTCTAGAAAAGGCAAAACTGTAGTGATAAGAACAAGTTATGGTTTCCAAGGCCTGGGTTGAAAAATTGTCTATCAAGGGCTGAAAGGGAACATCTTGGGCTGATTAAAATGCCCTACTCCTTAATTTTGGTGGTTTGCATTTGCCGCATTCACACAACTGTATCCTCAATGGACTAAATTTACTGTCTGTAAATAATACATAAATAAATTTGACTCTAAAATGTAAAAAATTATTTATATCAAAAATTTTAAGTCAATCTAATGAGATATATTCAACAATCATTTGAAGACACATCAAGGAAGAAGAGGAATTCTTGTTTGATTAAGGTGTTTTATGAATTTTCCTCCTTCCAAAGTACTAATAACATTTCCTGATCTCCTGTTTTACAAATAAAATTACATTTTAGGGAAAAATAGTTACATTGAACAAGTGACTGGTGTTATTTGTTGTCTTAATTATGAATTCACTCAAGTGATCTTTAAAAATAACATATTTCATAAATACAGGCATGTTAATGAGCTGATTGGTTATGATAATCATGTCTCAAAATAACACTCTACTATATTATCTTTTACCTCTTACAGTCTAATAAACAACTTAATAATTCAGAAAGACAATGGAGAAAAAGCACTATTAGAAGCTCTCACATAACATAACTGATATTCAGATACAAGAAACAAAATGGCAGGATTAAAAATAACACCAGGAAGGATGTTTTAGACAGCAAATGCCTTACCTTTGCGTTTGGGTGGCATAGCTGTTGTCATATGTCTCATAGGTCTGGTCGTCATAGTCACCACCGAAGCCATCATCATACCCCTGAGGCAGAAGGTGGTAGAAAGACTTATTAGCAATCAATTTGACTAATTGTGATCTGTTTTTTCTTAATGAGATTTTATATTGATTTTAGTTTTTATGTTTGGTTAGTTGTACTGCATCAGGTTTTACTAGATTAACAATTTCCACATAGCTTTGAATAATATTTTATGGATTGGATATTAATGCTTAATAATTAAACAGCATATCGTTGAAGTAGCAATACCTACTCTAGGATTTATTTAGAATTTTGATTGATACTAATGTAGACAATTTAAGAAATTCAAAATAAATTTTTCTACTTAAAATATTATGGGTAAATAAAAACATTTGTGATAACCTAATGGTAGTGCTAGCATTGTTACAACCCCTTCAGGAGTTTTTTTCTTACATTAATAGCGATCACAGTTTAGATTAAAACTATAAAATTTAGGACCCTTAAATTGTAGTCAACTTTCTGTAAAATCAATGTAGTCATTATTGCTTAAAAAAGAAAAGAGAGAAAGGAAGGAAGGAAGGGGGAAGGAAGGAAGGAGGAAAGAAGGAAGAGAAAGAAGCATAATATTGTTTATTTTGTTGAGCATTCTGCGGTTTTTAAATATCATTAAAAATAATGTTGTGTGGTGAGTTTGATTATCTGACTAAATTAATGCTAACAAAGCTAATGTGGATTTTTCATTGCAGAAAGTTATGAATCACTTTGTGAGTCATTTAGTTTTATTTCCCCTTGCAGTCATTAGCTTTACTCTCAAGTCTAGCCATTCATCTCGATTACTCCATATTGTTGGAAAAAAATGTTTAGTTTTTCTGCCCCTGGACCTTTGCTGGTGTGTTTCTTTCCCTGAAATGGACTTCTATATGCCCCACAAATTCATAACTTCATTTAAGTCTGGAGGCTTATAAATCTCTTTATTTTGTTCAGAAACGTAAACAAAAATGTGTAGAAGTTTCCATATTAATCTTGAATAAAACTTTTGAGCTCATTTAATCAGAGGACTTATATTTTTCATCAAATTAAGAATGTTTTTGAAGTATTATCTCTTCTCCATCTGGCTTACCCTTTACATAGTGCTGTTATTTACATATGAGTTTTTCTGAGTCTGACTTTGATTTCTTCAATTTTTCATTCATGATTTCCATCTCATATTTTTCCTTTGCGGTAAGGAACAGTTTCCATCTGTGTAAATGCTATTACGGATTTAAAGACCCTTTTGTACAATACAAGCTTCAGGAAGTTTTTTCCTGCTCCTCCCAAGCATATGGCAAGTCTCTACCCTCTGAGTTCTAATAGCCTGTGTTCTTTTTTTCTCACTGGTATTTAAAATGTACAAACATACACTGCATTTTTCTATAATTTTCTCTCTTTTTAGAATTTAAGCTCCTGAAAAGCAAGGACTACATACTTGTGGTGCTTAGCTTAGTTTATTCCAGAGAGTATTTTCTCAGTAAATATATATTAGATTTTTAAAGTAGCACAAAGAAAACTATTCTCATCCAGTGTAGGTATGGATTGACTCTCATAAATCACCACTAAAATAGAAATATTTCATATGATGATTATATAGTAGTGTCCTATAAAGCCTAGCTTTACCACTTTGACTGTAGGAGATTGTTATGTTTTCCTTCCTTACTTACATTTTTATTTATAGTCTTACACAGAAAATCCATAGAGTAGTTAGAAGTCCCTGAAATATTCATTTATGTTGGCAAGTAAAATGAAAGGGAAACCTCAGATAGGTATGTCAGAACTTTATTCATTTGTCAGTGATGTTAACAACTTTGCTTTGAATTGGACAATGGTTTTCACATAATAGAAAAATATTTTCTCAATTTTGTGTTCTATTCACAATGTAAAGATTATAGACATAACATACTTTTAAATTGACATTATTAACATTTTTCCATAGTGTTCTTGAGTCTGTATAATCATTACAACAAAAGGTTAAGTCCTGGCTCTTAGAATTTCCAATATCTTTTGTGTAAATACTCTTAAAATGGCTAATTTCAAGCTATCAACATGATATTGTTAAAAATAGATTTGGAAAAAGATAAATAGTAGACTATCATTTGCATATCATTCTGTTTAGAGCATAAATTGTAATAAATAGATAATAATTAGTTTTTAAAAGTAAACCTATCTTTGCCTTCAATATAATTAATTCAATTTTTAGTTTAAGTAATTTAATTTTTAATAACATCTGTGTTTAACCACCAATTCACAAAATTCTTCAGAATATTACATGGGATCTTGAGAGCCAGCACAATCAGCTCAGCACGTCCCTGCTCTTGGCTCACTAGAGGGGACTGACAGAGGCATAAAAAATTGAAATACAAATGGAAAGTGTTTCAATAGAGTATGTAATTGGTGCTATGGGAACATCAGAAGGGATCTCTAAATCTGTCTGAGGGTTTTCAGGAGAATTTCTCAGGGAAGGCCTTACTTGAGATGGTTATGTGTACATAAATATATATTTTCTAAGTGGGCAGTATGAGAGCATTCCAATTTTTAAGAACATCAGGTGTGAATGCATTGCAACATGAAAGAAAGCACTGTGTTTGGTGGCTTGCTTGTCACTGGATCAAACAAAAGCTCAGAATTCCTATATGGTAGGCAGTTGGGCTAAAGAAATAGGTAGGAGTCAGGTCTTAGGTGCTTCCCTCTAACATGGTAAGGAGTTTATACGTATCCTGCAGGCAAAGAAGACATGAGAATGTTTCAAGCAGTGGGATGACAACATTCAGATCTGCATTTTGCAAATTCCATCTGACTCTAAAAATTTCCAAGTATTTTGGGGCTAGGCTCCATTGTTTACCTCTACTTTCTTGAATATGTTAATTATAGTCACAAAAGAACTCCAACATCTGAATCACCTGTGTCTTTATTTTTTCTTATGGTTTCTGTTGATTTTATATTGGTTTTAACATGCCTTGTAATTTTTCATTGAACTTGTGACATTGTGCATGGAAACCTGTGAAGGGTTTTGTCTGATGGTATTTTCTTCCATTAGGAGTAAGTGCTCCCCTGGCAGGCAGTCCTTGAATAGAATTATAGCAGATGATGATGCCATGGAGAGATGGTTTTAGGCAATCGGATAGAAGGAGCTTGAAGCTCAGTCTGGGCGAGAGCTACAGCTATAGAAGTCGTCAACACAGAGCCGACCACTGAAATAACAACCATTGTTCAGAGTGTTTACCGAGGAGAGAAGCTTAGGCGACACCATGCTCAACATGAACACAATACTATAAGCCTCTCTCCCCTTCTTTAATTGGTCTTTATATCACTTGGAAATGAAGACACAATCATCAGCTGCAATAAATATTATGTTTTCTATAGGAAGATCTCACTACAAAAAGAAAATCAGTCAAATTTATTTAAAAAAAAAAAGACATTACCACTTGAAAGGCCTGTTATAAAATCCCCACGTAAATGCATTTTCTTAACATTGAGCTGTGAAAAGTCTCTGGCTATACCAGTGTGCCCTCTAACCACAGACATCAAATCAAAAAATTCTGACAAAAAAATGAGGACATATTGATAAATAAGCTATGTACTAAACTTTCTCTAGATAAGGAATTTTTATAATTAACATTTATTTGTGAACTTTTTGAAGATTATTGTAACTCTGAAAAGAGAATCATCACAAAATGGTTTAGAACACCTCTCACCTGTTATCTGAAAAATACATTTCTAAAATATCATGTTATCGACAGTTTGGCTAATAATTATAAATATTATTATTTTAAAAACTTTTGCCATATGAAATTGCCATTTATATATATATATATTCAAACTATATTTAAACCTAATACTGATATTAGAAACTATGAAACTGACATGTTTTTGTCAGCTAAAGAGAAAGCAAAAATATCTTGGGATGATAGTAAGTTATGGTGGCTTCCAAAAGAAAAATCTTTTGAAAATTTAAGTGATATAAAATGCCATCCTGATTCTGTTTTATATCCACAGTTTCTTAGAAGACTTTTAAATTTAACAGGTCTAAGTGACAGACTTAGCATTTGGTCATTATTCTCATTTTGGATTTTTATTTTCTGTAAAAAGTCAGTGGGCATTAAAATAAAAGGAAATAGTGTGGAATTTTCTAATACAATCAAGAGAAAAAGAAAATAAAGTCAGGCATGCAATCAAGAACTATAAAATATTCCATAATTAAGTAATTTAATTATGAGGGTCAAGATCATAAATTTGTCACCAGACACTAAAATACTAGGCACAGAAGCAATTTGCAAATGCTGCCCTTTAATGTCATTGAATATAATTAACAGGTCAGATAAGAACTTGACATTTAACTTTCTTTATGAAGTGTTAATTCTCATAAACATATGTTCCCTTCTTAATGAGTTAAACCACAAAATGTATAGCATAGCCATTTCATATATATAATCTCTTGATATTACAAGAGCACTTTATTGTAATCATTAAAATTTTAAGACATATCATGAAATATTATTTAAAAAACTAAATACAGAATGCTAATGTTTTAGTAGTCAGTGTTTCCTTAGGATATAAATGACCAATGCTTATGACAATTAAGCATTGTGACATTTATCTGCTTGTGAGTTATTTATTCTTTCTTGTATTTCTTTAAAGTTTCATTTGATGTGAATATCTTCCTACATTTTCATGTTTTCAGCTTGATATTGTATAGATGAGCTTTTCATAAAATAGAATTTCTTCTCTCTTTTGCACTGAAACAATGGCTGGTTTGAACAACGTGCCAGTAGGTGCCTCCCAATGTGTAGCTTTTGTTGCTGATGCAATAGGTCAGCTCACTCACTCACTGTGAGAAGCCATTATCTGTTCAAAACCATCCTATAGCATGAGGGTCCAGCCAGTCAGTGGAAAATCACTGCACCTCACAGTTTAGCTCTGCAATAGGGCAACATTTCCATTGTCTGTGTTTTCTATGGAAATCAATGAATAAATCCCTAGTAAGAAGAGAGGTCTCTATTCCATCTTCATCTCCTAGGTAGCTCGTAGCTAT